AAGTCCGTAACAACCTCTCAGATTCCTCACTGTGGGAGACACTCAGAAGCTGCAAACCTCGAAATAGTCAGGGAATGCCATCTCCTGTTCCTCCAGTCCTTTCTCTTCTGAGGACTTTCCTAGTGACATTTGTTACTTTCGATCATCTGCCCGAGGGGGATTGTAGCTTTTGAGGGCAACTGGGTCCTTCCTAATGAAAGCCGCACAACTGAAAGCCAGGTTTGGTATATAATTTCATTCGGTATTAAACTCCATGGAAAACTCTGGAAGAGAAATTTTCATTTTTATTACTACCCATGGGTTTTGTTCCTTACCTTCAAAACTTGATTTGCTGTAGTTAATAGTTGCAAAAAGTTATGTTAAGAAAATCAGAATTCTGAGTTTGTTTCTAACAATTTAATGGGGAAGGGAGGATGTCTTATTGCGAACGTTATATTAAGAGCCAGTAAATACTGAATGCAAGAGTGCCTGTAGTTAGTTTTAGGCCCTTTTGGGTGGGCAGAAAAGGGAGGGAGCACCCACCTCCCTCCTCCAATTGGGGGTCTCTAATCAGCCCTGAATCTCAGGGTCTCTTTTGGGTCTTTGAAAGATGAGGTAGAAAACATGGGCTTTGGGCTTGAGTCTTCACAGGCTGAGGAAGGAGACAAAGTGGGGTGTCAAGCCTGCGGGTGGCCTGGAAACCGGGTTGTCGTTCACAGCCGTGGGGCCTTTCAGATGGGAACAGCAGAGCACCCCCTTCCCTGTGTTACCTGGAAGCCCGTAATGAGCTCCAGCTTCTGCTTCATCTTCTAGCCGCAGCCTAGTAAGGCCTTTTAAAAGGTCACGTGCCTCTCCAATAGCTTGCTTAAAGAGCTGTTGTTATTTCGTTAGAGTGCCTGAGGAAAGAGCCTTCTGAGGAGACTGCCACTCTGGCTTTGGCCAGCCTGAGCTCCAGGCCCAGAGACACAGTTTGGCTTCTTGCCCTCAGGTTCTTGAGAGGCTTGTCTTTTCTCGTTTGAACTGAGAGTGAGTTCTTCTCACTGCCTCCCACTTCTAGGAATTGGAGGCCTCTTCTAAAAACAGTCAGTGGGAAGCCTTGATGCTAAACAGTGTGTAAGCAAACTTTAGGAAAACTAACTTTTTAAAAATTTTTTGAAGTGTTTTTAATTTTTAAGTAAAAATGTGGACCGAATTTTAATATGTTGCATTTTATTCCTTTCTATAAGAATTTAGATAGAAATAGGATTACAAATCAGGATTGTGTGCATTTTGCAATCTTAATGGGTGTGTAGAGCCAGTTTTGCCTCATCAAATAAAATAGAGAAATGAAGGCAAACCTGCTTTGAGACATACTCTGTCATGGGTCCTTATTTACACATTTGAAAAGCATCCAAGATTTGATTTGTCTAGCTATTCCTGCTCACAGATTTTGCTTACACGGGCCTTCCTCCTTCCCCTTCCAGACAGCATTACAAGTGTCTTAATCAGGTTTTTCCTAAATCATTAGGGTTATCACACAGCTATGACCAGCTGGATCATTCTAATTGGAAATTAGGTGCTTTTCACACTGAAATCTTTCTGAAAGCATCTCCACAGATCTCTTTTCAGCTATGGGAATTCTGATAAATGCATATAGTACTGCATGCTTTTTAAATATTTGAGTCCTATAGATTCGGCGATTATTTCTAGAGAAATGTGAGTTATTAAGTCTCGTTGTTCATTCTGGCAATAAGTCTTTAAAAGACAATTCTATATCAACAAAAGAAAAAGTCTACACTGTTTTATCTAAGTGTTACCTCTCCTCAAGAAAACTGATAAAATTCAAAGTGGCGATGAGCTTATTACTAATTTGTTTTTAGTATATTTGGTTTACATTTTAAGACAGTGCTTCTAAAACTTTCTGTGATGAAGGACCATCTTGTTTGTTTTATTCCTCCTTCATTGACTAAATACTTCAGTAAATTACCAGAGAAATGAAATAAAAGTAGAAAGATGTAAAAAATAGAAGCCTCATTTTTATTAGATTTACAGACATATAATTGTAAATTTGCTATAAAAGTTTTTAAATAATGGAGTATCTACTTACCTCATCATGGACCAGTAACAGTTCACAGACTGGCACCATCTATGGACTACACTTTTAGAAATACTGCTTTAGAGTGAGCATGTGTGTGTGTGCGTGTCTGTTACCCGTCCAAAGTCCATGTGCCCGACACTTTGAAAGGCCAAAATTCAAAATGTCAGAGTTTGGAGTAAGGACAGGTTTATTGATCCAAAAAGTGCCAGCTGAGAGGATGCCCCAGATCCATCTTAAGAAAGCACAGAGTTCAGGCTTCTTTTACATCAGGGAAGAGGAAATTGGAAATTGGAGGGGCAGGAGGTGATTGAGGACGGCAGTCATCTGGGCCCCAGGAGGTGTCTGAGGAAGACTGCACTTAGTCTGTTGACCGTAGTTGATGTGAGTCCAGTCAGGAGGTTAGTGCAAATTTATGATAAACAGTACATACTTTCCTCGTCTCCTCAGGAGTGGCACTTTCTGGTAAGGGGCTATTTTTGTAAAACTCAAGCCAAAAGCAGAATCCCTCTAATGATGAACATGTCTGTATGCAAGACCAAGGAGAAGCTATTAGCCTGAAGGGCATGGGAACAAAGCAGGCTTGAACAAGATGGAGTCAGAGAGGCCAAGCATTTCACTCTGTCACATGTATGCATGTGTGTACTCTCTCACACACGTTTAAATGTACTGGGTCTGATCAAAGAACGTGTAACATAGATCTTCTAACAACTTTAGATGAGAATTAAATGCAGTTAATGAGCTCTTTGGCAAGAAGTGTAATTTTTCTGGACGTGAGTATTTAAACGCTTAAATTGTAAGCAAAGACAAATAGTATAATTGTGAGTACGGTTACCTGTTTCAAAACACAGTTGTCCCGGTAACATCTAAATGCATAAAGTAGAAAGTGTTTTGTAATGTGAAATGAAATCACTTCCTCTCTGATTCACACTCAAGTTTAAATGGGCACAGGTACTTTAGATAGGAAATGTTATGTGCAAAGTGTATATACAAATGAGACTTTTAGCACTAAGCAGTAGGAAATATTTCTCTTATGTGAGGTATTAGATAAGCAAGTTGTTACTATCATACCTTCCTTGCCTCAAAGCACAGTTAATTATGGGGCTGGTCTTTGGTCCTAGTGATTGACAGCCATTTTCTTAATATTTACAAAATGAGAGAAGGCGTTTCATACAAGTAAGTCCACATTTTTATAAGCATTAACAAATTCTCAAGCTGATTCTGACATTGATGGGTTGCAGCTGTCTTTGTCTTTCTCTACTTGAGACCGAGGTACATGAAGGTAGTCACTCCAAGTGGGATTTGTGTGCCAGGCTCTGTGACCACCTGCATGTCTGTGCAGAGTGGCCTTTAACAAAGCGTTGGTTCTCCCCTATAAAACACACACACACACACACGCACACACACACACACACACACACACACACACACACAGCATTGGAGGGAAGTTCTGTGAAGTTTCATTACAGTTAGCTTTAGGAAGAGATGAAACTCATTCAAAATAATAATGAGTTGTAGAAGTTACTGAGCCCCTTGAAGATCAGGCTTTATTCCTCTTTGGGGCTCCCACTGCCTGGCGGAGTGCCCAAGACAGCATAGATGTGGAACGAGTTAATAAGGGATTGAATGAGGTGCTATCAAAATCAACTGAAGTAATTCAGTAAAAGGCAAGTCACTGTTAGAAGAAAAATTGAATAACTACAAAGCACCTGCTTGTACATAAAGATATCAGGAAGAGTGAGTGGCATCAGGGAGAAGATTACCACGCATCCGTGGGTGTTGTAAAGGGGGTGAGAGAGCAAGCACCAGCTTGGCTTAATTAGAGCCATGTCTCCTGGTCTGGACAACATAAGGACAACTATCCTGATTAAACAGTTAGAAAGTGAGGTCTATGAGGCAAAGGCCGATGGCTTGGAATTGTTCTGTTTAGACAGTGGATGTTCCGAAAGGAAGAACCACTCTCCAGAAGGTACAGCCAGCAGAGAATAAAGTTTTCACTAAGGCGAGAGCAGGCGAGGAGGCCGCCTAGGCTATGAGCATCAGGCAATGTGGGGCAGGAGTTAAAATTCAACTCGTGCCCAAATGCTCAAGATCTGAGATATGAGTTTGACATTTCTTCGAAATACATATATATGTCTGGAGTCGCAATAAGTATTTTGTTAAGAAAAAATGTTTTCAAGTACCCAAACAGCAATGCTTATAATCAGAGTAAATTACTTTCAAATTAATCCAGTTGCATCCAGACGTAACTGTATATGATGAAATCGAGCCATGGAAAAACTTGGGCTGGGAAATCCACATTCCTCCTCTGGATTCTATACTGAAATGTGGTGGCAGCTCAGTCACTGTGGTCATTTAACACAGGCCAAGGGCTTGACCACATGTCACCAAACGGGCAGAAAGGCTCTATGCATAATGAGGAAGGAAGAGGCATTTTGAAAGCACACACCGTTCTACCAAAATTATACATGTTCTCCCTTCTCCAACTTGGTTCTTCCAAACGTTCAAGATATGTTAAAGCTCTAATCTATGACACCTTTATCTGTCTAGGCCATAGCATTGTAAGTGTTTTCTTGGGCTTTAAAAATAAATCTGTTTGAGGGAGGGAAATTGAACCTGCATGGTGATATTAAGCAAGCACAGGAGCTGAGAAAGTCAAAATCACGGTTTCCATGGTAACGTTTAACTTGTCTGGGTCGTACACATTTCTCAAGAAATACATTCACCAGACTACCTAGTGAGAAAAATTGCTCCACAGGCATACAAAGGTGTATTCCCCCGTTCTCTCATTCTAAAAGGTCTTCCCCCAATTAATTCATCAGTTCTAACTGAGCCCGGGCAAGGAACCAACAGAAGTCCATGTCCCGAACTCTGAATCAGCATCTTTGTTACGATAGCAATTAGTTTTCCTGTGATTAATTCCATTTCCTTCCTTCCTCCTTTGCAGATATATGTTGGGTAAAGGAGGAAAACGGAAGTTTGATGAGCATGAAGATGGGCTGGAAGGCAAAATCCTGTCTCCCTCTGACGGTCCATCCAAGGTGTCTTACACCTTACAGCGCCAGACTATCTTCAACATTTCCCTTATGAAACTCTACAACCACAGGCCCCTCACAGAGCCCAGCTTGCAAAAGACCGTCTTAATCAACAACATGTTGCGGCGGATCCAGGAGGAACTCAAACAGGAAGGCAGCCTGAGGCCCGTGTTCACCCCCTCCTCCCAGCCCAGCGACTCGCTGAGCGACAGCTACCGAGAGGCCCCGCCCGCCTTCAGCCCCGCCGCGCCCGCGCCGGCTCACCCCTGCGACCTCGGAAGCACGACGCCCCTGGAGGCCTGCCTCACCCCGGCCTCGCTGCTCGAGGACGACGACGACACTTTTTGCACTTCCCCGGCCGTGCAGCCTGCGGCTCCCACCAAACTCTCACCTCCAGCCCTCCCACCGGAGAAGGACAGCTTCTCCTCCGCCTTGGACGAGATCGAGGAGCTCTGTCCCACATCTACCTCCACAGAGGCCGCAGTGGCAGCGACTGACAGCGCGAAAGGGGGCGCCGGCGAGCCCAGCGTTCAGAAACCCGAGGGGCTGCCGGAGGGCCGCCCGGACGACCCGAAACTGATGGACTCTCTGCCTGGGAATTTTGAAATCACCACGTCCACGGGGTTTCTGACGGACCTGACCCTGGACGACATCCTGTTTGCCGACATTGATACGTCGATGTATGATTTTGACCCCTGCACATCCGCGTCGGGGACGGCCTCCAAAATGGCCCCCGTGTCGGCGGACGACCTCCTCAAGACTCTCGCTCCCTACAGCAGCCAGCCCGTCGCCCCGAGTCAGCCTTTCAAAATGGACCTCACAGAGCTGGACCACATCATGGAGGTGCTCGTCGGGTCCTAAGAGCTCGGGACCCGGTGACTGTGCCCAGCCGGGCTCTGCGAGTGTCCCTGCGCCCTGACAGCTCTCCGCACTGTGCATGCACCCTTGCTTGCCTTTTTCAGAGAAAAAGAACATTTTACAAAAGGATCACACTAGTTTTTGCTTTGAGCAGAGTTGGAGTGCCTTCATCCAAGTATGACCACTTTTAATATGCTTTTTTGAGTGGTTCCTCAGAGACCTGCCCTGGAGTAGGAGGGACTACATTTGAAGACAATATTGCTATATCAAATGGCAAAAATAAACAGTTCAAGTGAAGCACAAGGAATAAGTTGGGAAAGCTGTAAATTGCATGTGCATATTTGTCTATTTTTTCTATAAGTTTTATTGCAAGAGGTAAAAAAAAAAAAAAGAAAAATATATATATTATTTAGATAATCTCAGTACTTTTTCTGGCATTTTCGCCTTGTATAGGTTGACTTGGCAATTCAGCCTTTTTAGAGGCATTAACTACTCCTCGTAAGTGTTGCATTTACATGGCTGTTTAGAAACTGCTGCCCAAATTTATTTTATATTTTTGTACAGATTCTGCAGTTTATGATATTGTTTTTCTAAAAACAAATGCTGTTTATACATATGAGATAGCTATTTTGATAGGATTTGCTCACATAGTTCCTGCAAACTTCAGATGTACAAGTTGCACTTGTACTTTTATAGCATTGTAATGTTTTATATGTGTTTGGTGCAAAGAGAAAATTGGATCAAATCTGCAGTTGATGTCCCCAAATGCAGACATACACACACACACACACACACACACACACTCACTCACTCACTCACTCACTCACACAGCGCTTTAAGAAAGGGCCAGGCGATATCACACCCAAATTTCACGAGCACTGACCCCTTGGCATGAACACCCGCCAACACTGTGACTTCCAAAGCTAGAAGCCGGAGCCATGTCTGCTCATCAAACTTGCATTAAGCAGTTGGCGGGAGGTGGCTGTGGAGCTCGGGGTTTAAATGATGGTTCTCTTTAGTTCCCTCTCTCGAGGGGAAGGCTACCGAATACTATTTATGCCAAGTTCGTGCTTTTAATTGTTTTTATTTTTTTAAACAAAAACTCACATCTTTCCTTTTTGGCATAATTTTTATGACCTGAAATTTTACATGCGAACAAAATTTTATGAAAAGCAACCAACTTCTTCATGGAACTAAACCCTGATGCAGTGCTTAGGGCTCATAAAGAAAAAAATCTCCCCCAGAAGGCACCTATCATGTTGCTCAATTGTCTTTTCCAGCTTCCTTCCCTAGAGCTTTCGTTCCCTCTATTGCTAAGTGCTGAAAATGGCATCTTTCATGATCACCACGGTGAGCTCTGCTCACCTCGGCCCAGCCTGGGATGCACTCTTGTAACATCTGTAGCTCTTGAACCTGGAGTTGGTCCCGTTACATCATGGCTTCCAATCTGGTTGCTTTCTGTAATCAACTGCTTTAACTACACTTTACAAGGCTGTTTTATCCAAATACGCAGACAGGACTTTCTATGCATGTTTCTTCTCCTTCCCCCTTGCCTACCCCTCTGCCCCCTGTCCCCTGTCCCCTGCCCCCGGGCACTTGAGACAAAGCTTTTTATTCCTAGTGGTGTACATTTAATTTTAAAACGTTTGCAATGTATCATGCTTGTTGCCGAAATTGTTTATGGCCTTTCTCCTTTCGGTTTTTTTTCTTTCTCCCAATGGTACTTTAGCTGGTTACAACTTATATTGTTGAAATGCAGATGGCTTCTTTAGGAATAACTTTTATATTTATTTAAGAATTTTTAAATTATGGGATTTGTGTTGTCGTCGTCTTTGTTGTTAGTCATTTGTCAATATTCAGTCACCAATTCTGCTCACTTCTTGCCATGGATAAAATTGAGTCTTTCTGGCCAATTAAAAAAGACAGCTTTATAAAATGGCACTTTAAACAAGCCACAGATAGTTTTATTTTTGTAATACACATGGCAAAACAAATAGATTTGTGATGAAGGAACTGCTCATCTAATCAAAAGATTCGTGTATGATGATTAAATCTTTCTACATTCTAATTTACGTCCCCCC